CTGCAAGTGGGAGGCCCAAGGCAGAGGGTGGGTGGGTCGAAGTCCCCTGCTGGTGGGGTGGAAAGTGGGAGACAGGTGTGGGAAGAGGGGCCAGGCCAGTGTGAGCAAGTCCCAGGAGTCGGGCTCTGCAGGAGGGAGGCCGGGCTGGGGCTGGCAGAAGGGCAGGGAGAGCGCAGCTCCACTGCCCCCTCCTCCTCTCTGGGCCTCGCACCCTTGCCTCGGCTGGGCTCGCTCAACTACTCAGAGGCATCCTTCTCTTGACCTTGGGCAAAGGCCTTTGCTCTGGACCTTCGTTTCCCACCCATCACCAGGTCAATTTGGCTCCCAGAAACCCCAGTGCTGTTTTGTAGTCACAGGACACACGCGTGCCCATCGCTGTTGCTAAGCTGGGCCCGGGCGGGCGGGCATGGGACGTGCATGCAGTGTGTCCAGTGGCGGCGCCAGGCCGGCCAGGCCGCAGGCTTCCCAAGCCTGGCTCCGGCACCCAGTGTTCCAGGCCCCGGCCAGAGAGGAGGGGCGGGAGGGCCGCAAGGGGAGGGGAGGACAGGGGGAGGGACAGAGTGGCCCATTGTGTGTGTGTGTGTGAGTGTTCGTGTGTATGCACACGTGGGGGGGCCCACACAATGTGCCCCTTGTGTGCCCGACCCGCGGGGACAGCCAGGGCTCCTTACCTCGCGGAGACCCCAAGGCACAGGCCTGCCTTCTCACCTCGGCGGCCAATCGTTCCTTCTAGCCCTGGAGTCTGGGGGGCAGCCCCGCAGGCATCGCTGGCCCCCTCCCCCCACCCTGCGAGGCACATGACTGTGAGGGGGGTGGAGGTGCCCGGCCGGGCCACCGAGCGGCAGCGCCGGATGAGGGGCGGCCCCGACCCCCGCGTACCCGAGGGCCACCCACTTCCCGGACTTCGCTCCTCCGCGGCGGCCCCGGGTGTCCGGGTTAGGGGTCCGGCTGGGGGAGTAGGTCGCGGCGTGCAGGGGCGCTCACCTCCGCCGTTCTTGTAGCACAGGTAGGGGAAGCGCCACACGTTGCCCAGGCCCACGGCGAAGCCCACGCACGACATGATGAAGTCCATCTGGCGCGTCCAGGTCTCGCGCGGCGGCACTGCCAGGTGGCCGCCGGGTGTCCCCAGGCCAGCGGGGCCGTCGCCCTTGGCCGGGGCCCCGTCGGGCCCGGGCGCGATGAGGGGGCCCTTCTTCTCGTCGCCGGACACGCTATAGATGCCGTTTTCGGCGCTCTTCTTCGCCATGGCCCCGGCGGGCCGCGAGGCCGGGCCGGGGTCGCGGCTTCTCGCGGGGGGCGGCGGTCGGGCGGGGACGCCGGCGGCACCGGGGAGGGCCCGAGGGCGCGGGCCCGCCGGGGGCCGGGGGACGGGGCGGCGGGCGGGCGGCGGGGTGCGGGGCGCGGGCGGCGCAGTCAGAAGCAGTCCACGAAGCACTTGAAAGTGAGCCTGAAGAATCTCATGTGTGTCGGGGACCCGGGGGCGCGCGGGCGGCGGCGGGGCCCGGCCGGGCGGCGGCGGCGGCGGCTCCCGAGGCTTCTGTCCGCGGCTCGGGCGGCTCGGGCGGCTCTTCGCCCGGCCCGAAACTCAGCCTAGCGGGGCGCCGGCGGCATCGGCGCCCTCGGTCTGCAAGCGGCGGCCGGAGCAGGGGCCTGCGGCCCGTGCTCCCCCCCGCCCCGGCTGGGGCTCGCGGCGGCTGTCCGGCTCGGCCGCGACTCCGGTGACGGCGACGGCGGCTCGGGAGTGCCTCGCCCCTCCTTCCCAGCGGCGGCGGCTGCAGCCGCTCTCGGGGCCGCGGCGGGCTCAGCGACTCGCCACCACGCTCCGACTGTCCCTCTCTTCCCAGTCCCCGGCCGGCCGCCGCTTAAGAACCGACTCCTGGTGATGTCACTGTCGCCCCACCCCCACGGCCGGCCGGCCCCCTCCCCCTCCCGCATCCCTCCCTCCTTGTCACTCCGCCCACCTCCTCCCAGCCCTCCTCCCGAGGAGGAGACGCCGCTCCAGCTGGGGGCAGGATGGCTGCTACCTGGGGCGGCCGCCAGCGTCCCCCGCGGGGCTTCGGGCCGCCCCTCGCCCTAGGCTTCCCGGCCAGCCCCTCCCAGCCCTAGGAAGACGCCCTCCGGACCCACTCAGCCCTCCGCCTCCCCTTCTCTCTCTTTCTGCCAGCTCCTGACAGGCTGTCGCCTTCTCTTCCCGCTGCCCCCGCCTTCCTCCAGCTCTGTCCAGCGCTGCCCCACTGGGGCTAAAGCTTCCCGGCTACCCTGGAATCTAGAGGTCGGAACCAGCTCTTCAGGCGACAGGCCTCTGTATCTCCACAGGGGGCAGAGGGGAGCCTGGCTGCCTGAGGAGCTAGGCTCGACTTTGTCACCAAGGCAAACAACGGGCCTGGGTAAACGACCCTGGCGGACCCCAACGGTGCCTGGGGTGAGAGTGGGTAGGGGCTTCAGACTTGAGGGGACTGGAGCAGAAATACGGCAAGGCTGCCCCCTGGTGCCTGGCAGGTGCACAGACCCTTCCCCAAAGACCTCAGCTTTGAGGCCCCTGCTGCCACCCCCACCCACCCAGTGTTCCTCTCCCCAGGACCCCCCAGGCCTCCCCAGCAAGAGCCAGCTCAGCAGCTTGTTTAGCATTTTCTGGAGCCAAGAGCAGCCTGGGGGTAGGGTGTGGAAGGAAGGGGTCATTGTCCTGGCCTGGGAGGTAGAGTGCCCCCCTCAACCTCATGCTCCCTGATCTGATCCTAGACACTGCAGTCCCCAGATGGCTCATCCCGTTAAGCTAAGCCGGCGGCCATCCGGCGAGCTTTAGGAAGAAAAGCAGTTCCGGCCCAAGCCAGATTGAGCTTGCTGGCTTAGAGAGGGATCATGTCCCCACCCAGGTTTCGAGGAGGAGCCTCAAGGGGTGTGTGTCGTTGGGGGAGACAGACGGTGTCACCTGTGCTTCGACCAGGGGCAGTGGGCGGGTACCCTTGACGTGGCAGGGTCACACTGCTCATCAGAAGTTTCTCTCTACCGGGCCGACCGCGGTGGCTCAAGCCTGTAATCCCAGCACTTTGGGAGGCCGATGCGGGTGGATCACGACGTCAAGAGATGGAGACCATCCGGGTCAACATGGTGAAACCTCGTCTCTACTGAAAGTACAAAAAATTAGCTGGATATGGTGGCGTGTGCCTGGAGTCCTAGCTACGCAGGAGGCTGAGGCAGGAGAATTGCCTGAACCCAGGAGGCGGAGGTTGCGGTGAGCCGAGATTGCGCCATTGCGCTCCAGCCTGGATAGCAAGAGTGAAACTCCGTCTCAAAAAAAAAGAAAAAAAAAAAAAAGTTTCTCACTACGGCCTTCTCTGGCCCAGCCTGGGACTGAAGCTGGTCTGAAGACAGGGGTGTTAGAGAAGTGATCATAGATGGCCATAGATGGCCCTTCTCAGCAGCTGTGCAGCAGGAAGGAAGCTTCGGTTGGGTTTTTACATTTTGTGTAAACTTATTAGACTCATTTTATTGATTTCTTTTTTAGAGTGAGAGGTGCTTTGTTACATGCATATATTTTGTGGTGGTGAAGTCTGAGCTTTTAGCGGACCCAGTCACAAAACTACGCCAGTGAGAGATCTGCGTTTGCCCTCCTTTCCTGGGCATGGGCCAAGCTAACTTTGGGAGAAATTTAATTTATAGTTTAAATGATAATAGACCTTCCCAAGATGAAACCGCCTTTGGAAAATTAATGAAAGCCCACCAGATTAGGAGGATGAGAGGGGCCTGAATTCTGCAAACAGTAGAGATTACCAGCCACTGTTTCAGAGGTTGAGAGATTTGTAACTTCTTCAGTTACACCTGTAGATCACATCACTGTTGTCAGATTGGCTTTTTGAGATGTGTTTTCAGATTTTTGCGTTTCTAACTACCAGATGGCTCTACACCAACCAACCGGTCAACGGCACCAATTCCCTAGCCCCCTGTCTGCCAAACTATTTTCAAAAATCCTGCTGGACGCAGTGGTTCACACCTGGGATCCTAGCACTTTGGGAGGCTGAGGTGGGTGGATCCTGAGGTCAGGACTTCAAGACCACGCTGACCAACATGGTGAAACCCCGTCCTTAGCTGGGCGTGGTGGCTGGCGCCTGTAAATCCTGACCACTCAGCAGGCTGAGGCAGAAGAATGTCTTGAACCCGGGAGGTGGAGGTTGAAGTGAGCTGAGATCACGCCACTGCACTCCAGCCTGGGCAACAGAGTGACACTCCATCTTAAAAAAAAAAAAAAATTCCTAGCCTTCAAATTTTCAGGGCAATGGATTTGAGTAATAATAAAACTACAGTGTCCTCTACGAGTATTAACATCTTTCCTGGCTGGGCCTGGTGACTTACACTTGTAATCCCAGCACTTTGGGAGGCCCAGGTGGGCAAATCACTTGATCCCAGGCATTGAAGACCAGCCTGCGCAACATAGACCTTGTCTCTACAAAAAATTTAAAAATTAGCTGTAGTGATGACACATGCCTGTGGTCCCAGCTTCTAGGGAGGCTGAGGCAAGAGGATCAGTTGAGCTCAAGAGGTCCAGGGTGCAGTGAGCCATGATTGTACCACTGCACTCCAGCCTGAGAGAGTGACAACCTGCCTCAAAACAAAACAAAACAGGCCAGGTGCAGTGGCTCACACCTGTAATCCCAGCACTTTGGGAGGCCAAGGTGGGTGGATCACCTGAGGTCAGGAATTCGAGACCAGCCTGGCCAATGTGGTGAAAGCCTCTTCCTACTAAAAATATAAAAATTGCCAGATGCAGTGGTGCCCGCCTGTAGTCCCAGCTACTCTGTAGCTGGAGAATCATTTGAACCTGTGAGGCAGAGGTTGCAGAGAGCTGAGATCTCTGCACTCCAGCCTGGGTGACAGAGTGAGACCCTGTCTCAAACAAAAAGAAACAAAACTTTATTGTAATTACCCTACCTTGATAAATCGGCTCTATCTATCTGGGCAGCAGGCAAAATGAACCCATTAAGTGGTTACAGCCCGAATAGTCAATGTCTATTGACTATTACCCAATAGGTAATTTTTCAACCCCCACCTTCTACACTAGTTTTAGATGTACAGAGAAACTGTGGAGAGGGTCCCAACAGTTTCCATGGAGCACCTCCCTCATCTCCCGCCTTATTAGCCTCTTACCTTAGGGCAGCTCATTTATTGCAATGAATCAGCATCGTTAATAACTAGAGCCCGTGCTGTACCCCATTGTCTTGGATTTCTGTCAGGACCACATGTTGCATTTAGTCATCTTGTTTCCTGAGGCTCCTCTTGGCTGTGACGGTTGCTCAGACTCCTTATTCTTGGTGGCCCTGACAGCCCTCCATTGGGAATCTTTTGCTGATTTGGTGGGCCTGGGAGGTGATCAGGAGGAAGACCACGGGGGTGAAGCGCCTCCTCATCAAGGGCCATGTGGCCCTTGGACAACTGGCTGGGGTCCTGTTTGTCGGATCTCTCCACTGGGATCTGACTGTTCCCCCTTTCTTTACCGAGCTCTTCGGAAGAGCCGGTTGGGGAGCGGGGCCACCTCCTGGATGGGGAGTGTCTACACAAGTGATGTGGAATTGTCTGTTCTCCTGCCTTTATTTATGTGATCATTTATTTATAATGGTATGGACTTGTGGCCGTGTACCTTATATTTGGTTATAATCTAACACGACTCTTTATTTTCTTGCTCAAAAGTTCCATCTTGGACCATTGGGGGCTCTTTCAGTTGGCTCCTGCGTCCTTTTTTTATTTTTTGAGACAGGGTCTCACTCTGTCTGCCAGGCTGGAGGGCACTTGTGTGATCTCGGCTCACTGCAACCTCCACCTCGTGGGCTCAAGCATTTCTCCCACCCCAGCCTCACAAGTAGCTGGGACTACAGGCGCCCACTACCATGTCTGGGTTCTGGGTAAGTTTTGTATTTTTTGATAGAAACAGTTTCACAATATTGGCCACGCTGGTCTCGAACTCCTGACCTCTGGTGATCCGCCCTCCTTGGCCTCCCAAAGTACTGAAATTACAGGCGTTAGCCACCACACCTGGCCGCCTGTGCCCTTTTGACGTCCCTCCTTCACTGCATCCATCAGTGTGTGTGTCGGTGTGTGTGTGGGTGTGTCTCTGAGTGGATGTGTGAGTGGGTGTATGCGTGAGTGGGGGTGTCAGTGGGTGTGTGCACATGTGTGAGTGGGTGTGAGGGTGTGTGGGAGTGGGTGTGTCAGTGGGTGTGTATGTGTGTGAGTGCGTGTGGGTGTGAGTGGGTGTGTGGGTGTGAGTTGTGTGTGAGGTGTGGGAGTGTGTGGGGGCTGAGTGGGTTTGTGTGTGTTAGTGGGTGTCTGAAGTTGTGTGTGAGTGGGGGGTGTGACTGGAGTGGGTGTGTGAGTGGGAGTGTGTGTGAGTGAATGTGAGTGGGAGTGTGTGTTGAGTGGGTGTGTGAGTGGGAGTGTGTCAGTGTGTGGGAGCGTGTGTGTTAGTGGGTGTGTGAAGGTGTGGGTGTGAGTGGGGGGTGTGACGAGTGGGTGTGAGTGGGTGTGTGTGGGAGTGTGTGTGTGTGAATGGGAGTGTGAGTGTGAATGGGAGTGTGTGAGTGTGAGTGCGTGTGTGAATGGGAGTGTGTGAGTGTGTGTATGTGTGTGTGTGAGTGTGTGTGAGTGGGAGTGTGTGAGTGTGTGAATGGGAGGGTGAATGTGTGTGTGAGTGTGTGTGTGAGTGGGAGAGTGTGTGTGAGTGTGTGTGTGAGTGGGAGTGTGTGTGAGTGGGAGTGTGTGAGTGTGTGTGTGAGTGGGAGTGTGTGAGTGTGTGTGAGTGTGTGAATGGGAGGGTGTGTGAGAGTGGGAGTGTGTGTGAGTGGGAGTGTGTGTGTGTGAGTGGGAGTGTGTGAGTGTGTGTGTGAGTGGGAGTGTGTGAGTGTGTGTGAGTGTGTGAATGGGAGGGTGTGTGAGAGTGGGAGTGTGTGTGAGTGGGAGTGTGTGTGTGTGAGTGGGAGTGTGTGAGTGTGTGTGTGAGTGTGTGTGAGTGGGAGTGTGTGTGAGAGTGTGTGTGAGTGTGAGTGTGTGAGTGTGAGTGTGTGTGAATGGGAGGGTGTGAGTGTGTGAGTGTGTGTGAGTGGGAGTGTGTGAGAGTGTGAGTGTGTGAGTGTGAGTGTGTGTGAGTGGGAGGGTGTGAGTGTGTGAGTGTGTGTGAGTGGGAGTGTGTGTGAGAGTGTGTGTGAGTGGGAGTGTGTGTGTGAGTGTGTGTGAGTGGGAGTGTGTGTGTGAGTGTGTGTGAGTGGGAGTGTGTGAGTGTGTGTGAGTGCTTTCTTACTATCTGGCTCTGTGCTCATCCCTTATATTTCCTGAACCAGTCATAGAACCAGCCCTTCTTTAGGGAGCCATTTTTGAGAGAATGGCATTGGAGATGAAGATCTGGGTTCAGGTGTGTCCATTGTTCCTGGAGTGTTGTTGCAAGGACTTTTAAATATATCCTAACCCATGTATGTGTATTTACATATATACATACACAAACCCATTTTATATAGTAACATAACATCTATAAAAAGATACACTTATATATCAGTATTCATATTAAATTCAACGCGAGTGCACACTGATGTCTCCAACTCGAATCCATCACCATCTGGGTCATTCTAGCTTGTCTATAACCTCCCACTCTAAAAGTGAGAAACCTAGGCCAGGCACGGTGGCTCATGCCTGTAATTCTAGCACTTTGGGAAGTTGAGGCGGGTGGATCGTCTGAGGTCAGGAGTTCGAGATCAGCCTGGCCAGGATGGTGAGACCCCCAAATAAAATACAAAAAATTAGCGGGGCATGGTGGTGGATGCCTGTAGTCTCAGCTACTCAGGAGGCTGAGGTGGGAGGATCTCTTGAGCCTAAGAGGTCGAGGCTGCAGTGAGCTATGATTGTGCCACTGCACTCCAGTCTGGGCCACACAGCAAGATCTGTAAAATAAAAAATTGAAATTATTTCTACAAATAATTTACAAATGAGCCGGGTGTGGTGGTGTGTGCCCATAGTCTCAGCTTAGGAAGCTTGAGCCCAGTCTCACAGACGCCACTCATTTCCAGAGTGGCTGAGATCAGCCCCTTTCTCCCTGACCCCCTTCAGTGAGGCTGTTTTGTACCTACCTTTCTTTCTTTCTTTCTTTCTTTCTTTCTTTCTTTCTTTCTTTCTTTCTTTCTTTCTTTCTTTCTTTCTTTCTTTCTTTCTTCTTTCTTTCTTTCCTTTCTTTCCTTTCTTTCTTTTCTTTCTTTCTTTCTTTCTTTCTTTTCTTTTCTTTCTTTCTTTTTCTGTCTTTCTTCTTTCTCTCTTTCCTCTTCTTTCTTCTCTTTCCTTTCTCTTTCTTCTCTTTCTTTTTTCTTTCTCTTTCCTTTTCTCTCTTTCTTCTCTCCTTTCTTCCTTTCTCTCTTCTTTCTTTTCTTTCTCTTTCTCTTTCTTTCTTTCTTTCTCTCCCTCTGTCTCTGTCTTTCTTTTTCTTTCTTCTTTCCTTTCTGTTTGTGAGATTGAGTCTCACCCTGTCATCCAGGCTGGAGTGCAATGGCGCGATCTCGGCTCACTGCAACCTGCGCCTCCCAGGTTCAAATGTTTCTCCTGCCTCCGCCTCCCAAGTAGCTGGAACTGCAGGCGCCGGCCACCATGCCCGGCTAATTTTTTATTTTTAGTAGAGACGGGGTTTCACCATGTTGTTCAGTCTGGTCTCAAACTCCAGAATTTGTGATCCACCCACCTAGGCCCTCCAAAGTGGTGGGACACCACCGCGCCTGGACCACGTTTAGTGTATTTCTAATTGCCTTTTGTCGTCTGCATTCTGTCTTGTGATCTCCCAAACTTCTAAAAGATTATTTGAAAAGTTGCCTATTTTAAGTTCCCTCTGTCTGCTGTAAAGTGCTATGGGTTCTCCCTACAGAATCCCTGTGCTGCCCCTAGTCAAGCATGACCCCCTCTTTCAGCCCCTAGCAACCGTGGATCTGCTTTCTGCCTTTTTTTGTCTGTTTAGCCTTTTCTGGAATGTCAGATAAATGGAGTCATACATTTATGTATGACTTTTGTCGGGCTTTTGACTATGCATTATGCATTTAAGTGACTTATTGCTTTTCTCTCTTTATCACTGACTAGTATTCCATTGTCACCCACTGAGGAACATCTTAATTGCTTCTGGTTTTTGCCAATTGCCAATAAAACTGCTATATACCATCACACTGGTCTTTTTTAAAAAAAGGCTGCTATAAATATGTGTGTGCTGTTTTTTGTGTGGACATAAGTTTTCAAATCATTTGGGTAAATACCAAGGAGTATGATTGCTGAATTGTATGGGTAAGAGTATACTTAGCTTTGGAAGGAACTGCCAGCCGCCTTTCAGGGTGGCTGAACCATGTCGCATTCTCACCAGCAACGAATGGGCATTTCGTTGCTCTACGTGTCCTCACCAGCATTAGACATTGTCATTGTTTTGTATTTTGATTATTCTAGTAGGTATGCAATGGTGACTTTAATGATGTCTGACGTGAAACATTCTCTGATATTGGAGAGGCATGTGTTCAGATCTTTTGCCCATTTTAAAATTGGGTTGTTTTCTTATTGAGTTTTTTTGGGAGGGGAACAGAGTTTTACTCTGTGGCCCAGGCTGGAGTGCAGTGGTGCAATCTCAGCTCACTGCAACCTATGCCTCCTGGGTTCAGCTTATTTTTGTACCTTTTGGTAAAGCCGGGGTTTTGCCATGTTGGCCAAGCTGGTCTGGAACTCCTGACCTCAGGTGATCTGCCCGCCTTGGCCTCCCAAAGTACAGGGATTACAGGCGGGAGCCACCATGCCCAGCCTCTTACTGAGTTTTGAGACTTCTTTTTATATTGTGGATCTCAGTTTATCAGTTTCTTTCCCCGGCTTGTGGCTTCTCTTTTCATCCTCCTACTAGTGTTTGCAGAGCAAACATTTAAATTTTGTTACAGCACAATTTATCATTTTTCCTTTCATGGATCGTGTTTTCCATATTGCATCTAAAAATGTATTGTCAAGCCTGAGGTAACACAAACTTTCTCATCTGTTTTCTTCTGGAAGTTTTATGAGTTTTATACTTTGGCATTTTATGTTTAGGTTTGTGATCCATTTTGAGGTGTTTTTTTCTTGAGACACAATCTCGCTTTCTTACCCAGACTGGAGTGCAGTGGTGTGATCTCGCTGCAACCTTCACTTCTGAGGCCCAAGTAATCCTCCCACCTCAGCCTCTCGAGTAGCTGGGACTACAGGTGTGCACCACCACACCCAGCCAATTTTTGTATTTTTTGTAGAGATGGGGTTTTACCATGTTGCGCAGGCTGGCCTCAAACTCCTGAGCTCCAGTGATACTCCCTTCTTGGCCTCGTAAAGGGCTGGGATTACAGGTGCGAGCCACTGCGCCTGGCCTTAAGTTAACTTTTGTGTCATGTGTCCCCTGAATGGATCTGAAAAGCTCTTATCTGTCATGTCCTAGGCTGGGCGCAGTGGCTCATGCCTGTAATCCCAGCACTTTGGGAGGCTGAGGCAGGCAGATCACAAGGTCAGGACCAGCCTGACCAACATGGTGAAACCCCGTCACTACTAAAAATACAAACATTAGCTGGGCATAGTGGCACGCCTGTAATCCCATCTACTCAGGAGGCTGAGGCAGGAGAATCACTTAAACCTGGGAGGTGGAGGTTGCTGTGAGCCGAGATCACGCCACTGCATTCCAGCCTGGGCCACAGAGTGAGACTTTGACTCAAAAAAAAAAAAAAGAAAGAAAGAAAAGAAATTGCTGAGGGTGGCCTGCAGGACTGTGGAGCACAGACCCTGGGGAGGTACCAGAACCTCATGAGGCTGGATGGGGCAGCGAGGGGGTGCAGTCAGTGTTGATTTAGAATTGAATTCAGTGCGCCTGCACTTGTTAAGCTTGTCTTAGCTTGGTCCGCAGACACACTCTGGGAGCAGACGCTTTGGTGAGGAAGACCAAGTGAAGAAGACAGGCAGGCCCGTTTGAGGAGGGGACATTTGAGCCGAGATCTGATGCATTGAGGAGCCAAGGTAGGCAGATATCTGAGTGAAGAACATTCCACGCAGGGGAGCAAAGGTTAGGGCCAGTCAGGTGGCCAGTGTGGCTGGGGAAGGGATGGAGGAGGATGGGCCAGAGGGAGCCCAGTGACTGCTGGGAGCCCAGGGGGACAGAGCGGTAGTGCAGGGTTGCAGGGTCCCGGAGCTAGGGATGGAGGCTGTGTAGGGCAAGTGGCCTGGTCGGTGTCTCCTCTGAGAGGCGGTGAAAGCAGAGACTGGAAGGCAGAGAGCCTTGCCGACCTGTGGCCGAAGAGCTCTCTGGAGGCAGCCGCCGGTGGTGCAAAGGCCCTGGGGCCGGCCCAATCAGGCTGCGCGGAGGCCGGAGCTCCGGGAGGCGGCACAAGCGAGCAGACGGCCGGGCGGCGGAGGCCGGCGGCTAGCCGGAGCCCCGCGATCACCTTACAAGGTGCCCTGCAGCGCCGCGGCTGCGTTGGGCCACTGCCTGCTCCGGCCGCCCGCGGGGGCGTGCGCGGAGGAGGCGGAGCCGGCGGGGCGCGGGCGGGGGGCTCGGCGCAGCGGCCACTGCGCGGAGCGACACTGCGGCACCCGCTCCAGGTCCGCACCTGCTCCGGGGTGCGGGGACGCGCGAGGCAGGGGCGCACCGGGTCCGGTCCACGACCGCCGCAGCCCTGCGCGCCCGCTGCACACCTGTCACGCCCGGTGCGTCCCCCGCCCGCACACGCTCCGTCCACGCAGCTCGGGACGCTGGCGGCCCAGGTTGCCAGGTCCCCCTGCTCTGCGGCGCCGAGGTCCGGGCTGCGTCTGCAGCGGCGTGGGTGGCCGTGGTCTTGGCAGGTGGCTGCGCGGAGGTCGCAGGTGCATCCCCGGCGGCTTGGTTGCTTGGGCAGCGGGTGCCTGTGGGCGCTATGCAATGGATGGCGGGTCTAGGCGGGGGTGGGGGCGTGGGCGCTGTGGATGGGGGAGGGAACGGCGTGGGTGAGCATGGAGCCTTCTGGAAATCTGCCGGATGTGTGGAGGCAGAGAGGCGGCGTCCAGGTGCTGGTCGTGTCGGGGTGCAGGGCTGGAGGGAGGTGGGACCGCAGCTGTGGGCCTGGGATATGGAGGCGTGTGTGTGGTGGCCTCGCCTCTGTGGGAGGTGTCTGGGGGTGTGACCTGGATAGGGGCAGGGAGGTTTGAGCGCTGCCTGACGCTGAGTTCTGCCTGGCAGGGGGTGGAGGAGGAAGCTGCCCTCGCCAGGGCCCACATCACCTCTCCCCTGCCTCTGCAGACATGCTGTTGCTGAAGAAACAGAAGGCATCTATGACATCTGAGAGAGGCTCGGCTCGTGAGTGTGCTCGCGTGTGTGGTTGTGTGTGAATACCTGTGTGAGATGGCATGTGTGTGTGTGTGTGACTACGGCAGTGGGCATGAGATGGTTTGTGTGAATATGTATGGGTGTGTGAATGAGTGAATGAGGTGGCATGTGTGACTAGCGGGGGTGTGTGGCGCAGGGCCAGGTAGGGCCTCATCTCCTTCACAGGGAGCCTCCCCGCTCCCCTCCCTCTCCCTCCTGCCTCTCCTCTCTTCCCCCTCATTTTCACCTTTCCCAATTCCTTCCCGCCTCTGCGGCAGGGGTACCTTCTCCGAGGTGGTCCTGGCCCAGGAGCAGGGCTCTGCACATCTCGTGGCCCTCAAGTGCAAGGAGCAAGGAGGCCCTGGTGGAGAATGAGATAGCAGTGCTCCGTAGGTGCGCACCTCATGGGGCCCTGGGATGGGGCATAGGTTGATGCGGGGTGGGGGGTGGGGTGCAAGGAGATCCTGGCTCTAGTCCAGGCCTGGCCACCAACCTTTGGGAGGCCTGGAGCAGTTCTCCTCCTCTCTCCCGGCCTGCACGTCCCTGTGGCAAAGGGAGCGGGTTGATATTGATCTGTGCTTTTCCAAATGGGCTTTAGAAATCTGTGTCCCAAGGGGCTCAGGCTGCGGCTCTGCTTTCCTGGACTGGGCAGGGGTGGCATGGGTTAGGCAATAGGCACAGGGGCGGGAGGAATAAAAGAGGAAGGAGGCTTTCTCTGGGGCCCCAGGACAGAGCCCCCCTTGACTCTGCTGGCCATTGCAGGATCAGTCATCCCAACATCGTGGCTCTGGAGGATGTCCATGAGAGCCCTTCCCACCTCTACCTGGCCATGGAACTGTGAGGAGGACTTGGGCAGGCTGTGGGAGCCAGGCAGGGGCTGGGCAGTGAGTGGGGCTAAAGGCCAGGCTGAGTGGCTGGGTCAGCCAAACCCCTGGCGCCCCCAGGGTGACAGGTGGCGAGCTGTTTGACCGCATCATGGAGCGTGGCTCCTACACCGAGAAGGATGCCAGCCATCTGGTGGGTCAGGTTCTCGGCGCCATCTCCTACCTGCACAGCCTGGGCATCGTGCACCGGGACCTCAAGGTGCCTAGCCGGGCCTCCGAGCCCTGCTCTCCTACCTGCCCACCTGGCCCTGCCTTTGTTTCCCTGGGAGCACAGCTGGGGCCTTTCTTGGTCACCTCCGCTAAGGCTCTGGGGAAACTGAGAGTACCCAGTCCCCATCCTGTCTCAGCACCGGCACCGTGTCAGGACTGACCTGGCCCTTTTGCGGTGCCCGTGTGTCACAGCCTGAAAACCTCCTCTATGCCACGCCCTTCGAGGACTCCAAGATCATGATCTCCGACTTTGGACTCTCCAAAATCCAAGCTGGCAACGTGCTAGGCACTGCCTGTGGGACCCCTGGATATGTGGGTGAGGAATGGCATCCTGAGGCTTGCTGGGAGTGGGGGGCCTGGGGGATCCTAGACAGCCAGGAAGGCTGTTGTGCCCATTTTCCCTGGGCTTGAGTGGGCCGAGCCAGCGGCACTTAGCGGCAGGGCTGCGTGTGTGCCTGTGCATGCGTCTGTCTGTCTCTGGCCCCCAGTCCCAGAGCTCTTGGAGCAGAAGCCCTACAGGAAGGCTGTAGATGTGTGGGCCCTGGGTGTCATCTCCTACGTCCTGTGAGTGACCGCTGGGAACGCTTGTCTCCTGCGTGCCTGCCCTTGCTGGATTGGGGAGGGTGGGACAGCTGGGTGATTCGTTTGTGGTGCCAGGCTGTGTGGGTACCCCCCCCTTCTACGACGAGAGTGACCCTGAGCTCTTCAGCCAGATCCTGAGGGCCAGCTATGAGTTTGACTCTCCTTTCTGGCCCATGCTTGGGGATGATGCAAGGGAGTGGGGACCTGACGGGCTGACCTGGCCTCCCTACTGTAGCCAAAGACTTCATCCGGCACCTTCTGGAGAGAGACCCGCAGAAGAGGTTCACCTGCTAGCAGGCCCTGCAGCACCTTTGGTGAGTGGGAGCCAAGCTGTCCCAGGGCCAGGGTGACTGCACCGAAGGGAGGCTCCCTCCACTGACCTTCAGCCTTTCCCCAGGATCTCTGGGGACACAGCCTTCGACAGGGACATCTTAGGCTCAGTCAGTGAGCAGATCCAGAAGAACTTTGCCCGGACTCACTGGAAGGTCAGTGTGGAGAGAGACCCAGAGCGGTGGCCCGCCACACCCCAGATGTAGCATGATCACCGTGGCGGCGCAGTGGCCACTGCCATCTTCACAGTCTTGGGGCCTGAGCCTGGCCTGATATCCCTCTTTTCTGGCAGTGAGCCTTCAATGCCACCTCATTCCTGCGCCACATCCGGAAGCTGGGCCAGAGCCCAGAGGGCGAGGGGGCCTCTGAGCAGCGCACGGCCCGCCACAGCTGCTCAGGCCTCCGTGCTGGCCAGACCCCCAAGTGGTGATGCCCAGGTGTGTGTGGCCAAGAGCTAACTGGGGTGGCCCCATGGGCCAGAGAGCTGAGGGCAGAGGGCACAGAGGGAGGAGCCAGGGCCCCAGGAGAGGCAGAAGGACAAGGACAGCTAGTGGTGCCCGATGTTAGGCAAGGCCTTGACTGAGGCAGGGCTGGGGGTACAGGTCCGACAAGCTGGCTCCTGACTACCCCCTTTCCCTCGGCTTCTCCCTCTCAGGCAGATGTCAAGGCCAAGCAACCGACCCCTAGATTTCCTTCCCTTGGACACTTTTAGTCCCCTCCCCCAACCTCTCCCCCTGGAGTTTGAATTCGAGGGTGTGCTGCATGGCGCTGGGGTGGGAATGGGGCACTCCGAAGTCTGTCCCCAGGCTCTGCCCTGCCTGGGGACAGCGGCTCCCCTCCTCTTTGACCTCGCCTGCCCCTGCCTCCACCCCACTGAAAGATGGGGAGGCGCTGGCAGGCGGGCCTCAGGAGCTGTCTTTCCTGCACGCTGTTCTGTGCTTCGTTGAGTGTAGGTGATCCTGCTCGTGTCATGGTCGTGGCCTTCCAGCCCCCTCCAGTTTTCCCCAAACCAATAAAGATAGAGCAATGGGCTCGTGGTGAGCTGGGCGTGCGGCAGGTGCGGAGGGGATCTGGTTACTTGTGGGAAGGAAACCAAAGAGACCCTGCCACCCAAACCTCTACTCTCTCACATCACAGCAGACTTCGGGCCCTAAAGCTACGCAGTGAGGCCCAAATCGAGGCTGGCCTGGGTCTTGGGGCTGAAGGCTGCAGTGGGGTTCTGGCTTGGAGCCAGGGGGCCTGGCTTACACCAGCAACAGCAGGCTGGATGTGGGTGGGCAGCCTCCTCCTCCATCACCACAGCCACTGTCAGGTCATCCTTTGCCCCAGACTTTGGGCCCCACAGGGGACCTCAGTCAGCCAGTGCCTCAGCCTCCTTGCCTCCAAGACCTGTCCCACCTCCCCTCACCTGTACCTGGGGCCCTGTTGCCTGGGGGCACCCCTGCTGTGGGCCCTGCTTCCCATCTTCTCTGTGTTCACACTGGAGTCCACGAAACCTACTTGCTCTTGTTTTGGTCAGATGCGAACTGCGCCTCTACTCTGTGCCAGGTGCTGGGCACTGCCTGGGCCTATCAGAAGAGGGACCTGCCCTCCAGGAGGAGGCCCTCTGTTGGAGGGGTGGTTTTATGGGGATGATAAGAATGGTCTTCGTGGGTCTGGGAGCCGTGAGCAAGAGTGCCAGAGCCAGCCTTCCAGAAGAAACCGGCATTAACTCAGGAACGGCCAGCTCTTCCAGTCCAGGCACGTGGCCACATAGCTTCAGCTTGGAGCTCAAGCCACCTCTGGGCTGCCTTGACACAGGGTGCAATATAGCCTCCCGTCAGCAGGGGGAGCCACGGCCCCATCTTTAGACATCCATTAGGCTCCCCTGGTTCCTTTAGCACTTGGGCAGACTTTCCAAATCCATTCCTTTCCACCACTGCCCCCACCCCACACCCTGCAAATCCTGCCATGGGAAAGTCCAACCTTAGGGGAGAGGTCCTGCCCCATCTGTGATAGGGGCGAGAGGGGGAGCCCCCAGGTCAGGCAGAGGCAACGTCCCTCCTTCATCCCTCCAAGACCCATATGAGGAAGGCAGTTTGGGTCACTAGGCAGTGGGCTGGGAGAGAGAAAGGACTGGTTTAGCCAAAGGCAAAAGGTGGTGCGGATGTGAGGTGATGTCGAGGGAGCTGGGTCGGGTGCTGTGAGGGCTTCTCAGGCCCAGGGGCGGTGCTGAGTTAATGCCGGTGGCAAGAGGAACAGGCCAGACCAAGCCTGGCAGGGGAAGGAGCTGGAACTGTAGTCTAGGAGCAGTGGGGAGCCATCGAAGGGGTTTTAGCCAGAGAGCATCCTTGTCCAGTGTGGATGCTGAGCTGGGGCTGGCTGCTGGGAATTGGGGTGTCTGGAACCAGACCAGAATTGAGGGTAGGGGAAACCTTGGTGGGCCTCACAAAAGGAAGCTGTCTCTGCTTTTCTGGGCCACACAGGGTGGGTCACGTGCTCTGTCTTGAAGCAAGACTGTGGAAAGCAGAGTTTCAAGGGAAGCTCAACCTATGGCTCCATCCTGGGGACAGGGAGACATGAAGGTGCTCCTAGGAGCTCTTTGGGAGTCAAGTGGACAGGTCTTGGTGGTGGGTTGCAGGTGGGAAATGAAGGGGAGGATCCAGGTAGATCATGGTTCTGGCAGCAGAACATTCATCAAGAAGGGTCCAGCGGGCATGACTGGGGGAGGAGTAATGAGACTGATTCTGGATGTGGTCGGTTCATGAAAGTAGACTTACTTTCCACCCTTCTCTTTGCAAATATATATCTAGCATTGAAACTGGTATTTCTGGAAGGCTTATCCCTTTTAATAAAAAGAACACTGATCCCTCAAGCCCAGGAGTTCGAGACTGGCCTGGGAAAGATGGCAAAAACTGATCTCTACAAAAAAAGAAAGAAAGAAAGAATGCTAGTCACGACTCTGCTGTATTCACTTGAACCTCACCTGGGAGATAGCTGCTGTCACGATAACCATCCCACATCACACGTGGCTAGTAACTGCATCCTCTTGCTTGCATCCATTTGAGTGAGGTCTTGCTTGGGACATAATTATGGGGAATTGAAGAAAACAAGGGGAATTCTTTCCCCACTTGTCTTTGTGAATGCAAACTCTGTGTGTCTGAAGGAAAGAGAACCCTGGGCTGGAGGAACCCATGGTGGATTTCAGTTTGGGTTTTGCAGATGGTTTGTGTTGCCTTTATTTTTTTAAGAGATGGGGTCTCACTGTGATGCCCAGGCTGGAGTGCAGTGGCTGTTCACAAGTGTGATCCCACTACTGATCAGCACACGAGTTTCAACCTACTCTGTTTCTGACCTGGGCTGGTTCACCCCTCCGTAGCTAGGACTACAGGTGTGAGCCACAATACCATCCAGCTTGTGTTGCCTTTAAGGTCCTCTGTGCCTGAATTTTATGTCCTGTTAAGTGAGAACCAGGGAGGTCTTTCCACAGTGGTGGAAATGTGACATGGGAGCTCGGCATTACAAAGATCCCTCTGGAGCTTGGTGTGAGTGATGGCCTGGAAGTGGGGCAGGGCAGGGCTGCTGGCTGGGCGACAAGCCTGAGCCATATGGAGAACAAGGCAAGAGATGTAGAGAGCCTTCAGCCGGGGCAGCTGACGTGGGACTGCTGGAAAGGTGCAGCTTGGCCATTGACTCAATGGGGATGGGGGATGGGGGGTTGTGAGGGAGTCAAGCATGCTGCCAGGGATCCCAGGAGAGCAGCAGGTCTGTTGAAGAGATGAAGGGACCAAGTCAGGCCCCCGGGCCGGGCGGTGGCCAATTTGGCACTATAAGCCACACGTTTCTTCCTGCCAGGCACTGTCTGGGCATGTGGTGACCATGTTTTCCACCCCAACCCAGCTTCATCCAGAGATCCCTAACACCAGGTGGGCAAGATAAGAAGTAGGGAGTGTTTTGGAAGCAACAAAGAACCTGTCTGCTTGAGGGACCCCGTCTGCTTGAGGGAGGTTGTGAGAGGAGGCTAGAGATCAGCCTGGAAAGCGAACTTTCTCAAGAGAGCGCTGGGAGCCACTGACGCTTCAAGCAGAGCAAGTGACAGGAACAGCTTTTTGTTTTAAGAGAGTTTTTCAATATTTCTCAACCCTATTATCTGCCTCCTTTTGAGAAATAGAGAAAGCTGACGCTTACTATCACACTGGTCTTTAGAAAACAATAGCTCATGCCCGGCTCCCCAGAGCGCCTCCCTCACACCCCGTGGAGATTTCCACAGCTTTCCTCACCCCAGAGCCAAGTCTGGCCTCACATGATGCCAGTTTCTCCTTGTAGTTCTTTCAATTATTGCTTTATGTATTTGTAAGTTATGTTATTCAGTGTGTATGAGTTTAGAATTGATGTATATTTTAAGTTGAATATTTGATCAATGCTGTTCCCTTATAGTCTACTTGGTCTGATATTAACATGGTAACTATAAGGTTTTTTTTTTTTGTTAACATTTGACTGGTATATCTTTTTCAATACTTTTCCGTTCAAATTAAAATTTTGTTTTTTATTGAGGTACAATTCACATACCACAAAACAAACATCGTCTGCATTTGCACCTCCCCCAGTGCCTGGCAACCACTCATTGACTTTCTATCTCTGTGGATTTGCTTATTTCAATATTTCCAATAAATGGAATCACACCATACCTGGCCTTTTGTGTCTGGCTTACACTTACAATGATGTTTTCAGGGTTCATCCGTATTGTAGCCTGGATCAGTACTTCATTCCTTTTTACAGCTGAAGAATATTTCATCGTATGGATAACACATTTTGTTTCCACTTTTAGCTACTGTGAATAATGCTGCTATGAATAATTGTGTGCAAGTTTTTGCGTGGACATGTATTTTCAATTGTCTTGAGTAGATACCTAGGAGTAGAATTGCTGGGCCATATGGTAACTCCATGTTTAACTTTTGAAGGAAATGCCAAGCTGTTTTCCAAAGCAACGGCACCATTTTCCATTCCCGCCGGCAATGCATGAGGGCTCCAATTTCTCTACATCCTTGTCAACACTTGTCATTGTGTGTGATTTTTCAAATAGCAGTCCTAGTGTGTGTGAAATGGTATCTTACTGTGGTTTTGATTTGTATTGCTCTAATGACCAGTGATATTGAGCATCTTACTAGTTATTTGCATATCTTATTTGGAAAAATGTTTATTCAATCATTCTGTTCATTTTTTTAATTGGATAGATAATTTGTCTTTTGTTGTTTTTGTTTTGCATGACTCCTCATTCTTATGAGACTAAGGATAATTTGTCTTTTTATTGTTGAGTTGTAAGGGTTCTTTATGTATTCTGGATATTAGATCCTTATCAGATACATGATTTGTAAACATTTTCTCTCATTCTGTGGATTATCTTTTCACTTGATAGTGTCTTTTGATGCATATGTGTGTGTGTGTGTGTGTGTGTGTGTGTGTGTGTGTGTACATATATATAGTTTCACTCTTGTCATCCAGGCTGGAATGCAGCAACATATGATCTCGGCTCAATGCAATCTCTGCTGCCTGGGTTCAAGCTATTCTCCTGTCTCAGCCTCCCAAGTAGCTGGGATTGCAGGTGCCTGCCACCATGCCCAGCTAATTTTTTTGTATTTTTAATAGACATGGGGCTTCCCAATGTTGGCCAGGCTGGTCTTGAACTTCTGATCTGCCCATCTTGGCCCCCCAAAGGTCTGGGATTACAGGTGTGAGCCACCGTACCTGGCCAGAGAGTGTTGCTGTGTTAAAACAATATTGTTTCCAATCCATGAACACAGAATATAATTCCACTTATTTTGTTCTTTAATTTTTTCGACAATGTTTTACAGTTTTCAGTGTATACATCTCACACTTCTTTTGTTAAATTTATTTGTAAATTTTATTCTTTTTATGCTCTTATAAACAGAATTGTTTCATAATTTCATTTTTGAATTGCTCATTAAAATTATATAGGAATAACCATTTTGTTGGTATATTGATCTTGTATTATGTGACCTTGCTAAAGCCTTTATTAGTTCTCC